CTCTACTCGAAAATCGTGCTGATACCTTTATAAGAATTTTAGTAGTTTCAGTTGTACACTTGTACGTGTTGTGCATATCCTTTGTCGAGGCTTAACTATTATACCTAACTTTGTTCTAAAATGTAAATGTTCACATATTCTGTTGTTTTTATTGAATATTATTAGCTTTATCAAAGGTAATATTTTAGCAAATATTTATGCAATTTTAAGTGCTATAAAAACCCAATCAGGATCATAACCACTATAATCGGTAAAAACAATGAAAGTTCATGTCTAATAACATAATTTGAGACTAAATAGGACTAAATCTAATTCTAAAATGAGTACTTAATTCAAATATTCAATATATAAACCAAGTTATTGTCTTGCTAGATGCAAACCCTTGCTGTTAATAACCAATATAAAATATAAATTTAAATAAAAATCTTACATTATATTATTGATTGTTAAATTATAGTTAAGCCTTATGATAATTTCCTTATTAGGTACGTTATTACTTCAGCTAGGTGTATTAAAACTTAAACCATTTAATTTATAAACAATCAATGATGACTTACTTTTTTTTTGTCCATTTTCCAAACTTGGCAAGCAAATGTCAATGTAGTAATAAATATTATAATTTATAAACAGACGTAATCGCATCAAACGTCACTTGTTAGAAATCGTATTACGAATGACAGTCAATAAAAAAGTTATCGTTGACAAAATCAACGACGATACAATCATATGTAAATATCAAGATAACAAGACTAAATATAAATCATTTTAATCATACCCTATTATTATAGTCGATATACATAAAGCAATCAAAAGGTCGGAGAGAATAATATTATATTAAGCATCTAAAAATAGAAAAATTCAAAAAGACAGTAGGAAAACAATATTATAATATTGATACGTCCGAAATGAATAGTTGATAATAATATTATTGTGTTGTTACTTATAATGCAGTTGTGCTGTCTAACTTGTCTATGTATGTACAACTCGTATTATTTTTATTATACTTTCTTGAAGTAATAGACCTGAAAACATTGGTGTCGGTAACGGGTGGGTGTATCTTCACAGAATTTGATGTATGTAATAAACTCATAACTAATAAGTATAATAAGTAATAACTAATAAATAATAATGAATAGTCAAATTGTGTTTGTCAAAACGTGACTTGCACAATTCTCATACACAGGTAGTCATCAAAAAAACCTAAATTTACTTTGATTTTTGGTTTTATTCTTATATAATAAAACAAGCTATACCAAATAATGAATATAATACTTTTCAAGTGCATTATTCCTGAATGCATTGATTAATTCGATATTAAATATTCATAAATATTATAATATATTATAAAATTATATACTTGTGAGTAAATAAAAAAAAATGATATTATGTTTGCCTCAATCCGTTGCCACTCGTTATGAATAGCTGGTGGCCAAGTAGTGATATATTAATCGATAAATCATTGTTTTTTGGAAGAAAAAAAAATGTTGAATAAAATATAATAGTTATAGGTAAATAGTAAACATAATTGTAATACAAAGTTTATAATATATATATTAGGGAACCAATTTTCCATTATAAGTTTAATATTAGCTATTTTTTTGCAAAGTTTTGGCAAGCAGCTTGAATTGCTACTTTTGAAAATCACATTGCTATTACTTGCTAATTATCCGCAATTTTTGGGCGTTTATTTTTGATGTGTACCGAGTAATGTGGATGGGCCAAGTTCATGGATGTGTCGCAATCACCAAAACGGATAGTGCGTCA